GAGTAGGCTTTATTATAAAAAGTTGATATTTTAAATTTATAATTATTTCAGTGTGTGAAATTTAATCATGTCTAATTTTCTTGTATTATTGTGCATTCTAATTGCGTTGATTACTTTAGGATGTGTACAAACTTTTATGGTGTGTATTTTTAGTTAAAATGCTTTTATGTGTGGTAATATATTTTCTGCTATATAATTTTTTATAATATTCAGAATATTCAATTTTACAATAGTAATTTTGTAGATTAAGTTCTTTACTATAAAATCATTTTTATATTTTCTTTTATAAAATATAAATAAATGCTATATAAACATTTTTTCCTTATTATTTCATGGGATAATTAATTTAGCAATTTACTAATTATTGAAAAGTTATTTGAAGCATACGATTTGTAATGTTTTCTTATTAATTTAAATATTTAACATAAACAATAAATTTGTTAATGTAATGATAAATATAAAAAATATTAAAAAGTAATGAATGGTGAAATTTATGTAGAAGCATTTCTATATGATTAAATAGATTTCATGTATAGTTTTATTTTCAATAATTGTAATTCGTAAGACTTTTAATAAAAACAAAAATTGTATAAATATAAAATATTGAATCTCAAATTTATAATATAAAACATCTATAATTAATTATTTGAATATATATATATATATATATCTGATATAATTTTTTTTAATGATTTGTGAAAGAACTATTTTAAAATACATTGAAATATTTTGAAAAAAAATGATATATTTAAGAAGAGTTATAAGAAATCTATTATAGTTATACTATCTTTTAAAGTTAATAATAGAAAAACTAATTTATAATGTTTATTCAAATTTTTAAATTTCAATGTTTTCATATATGAAATATATATTTTCTGCAACTTTGCCCACACAAATTATAAATTTATAGAATTTTTATCGTAACAAAATTAATTTATTATTAGTGTATGATTATATATACATTAGATACCGGAGATCACAGCTGAATGTCGTAGTGAAGCTTATAAAGCTTGCAATCATCTAACACCAAAGGCAAAGAAAATCACGTGTTATGTTTGTATTTACAATATTTTTTATGTTATTTTTTAATGTAATCTGTATACTAATTATTAAATAATTATTTAATTTTTTATCTTTTAGTCTGAATATTATAAACATCTTTGCAAGCCGAAACGCAATACTTGAAATTATAGTAACAGATATTTCATTCTAAATTGAACCTGCATGTATAAGTAATATTGTATAAGTAACCTTGTATTGATTAATAATTTATGTACATTTTACAATGATATAAATAAATATTCATTTTTCATTGAGTATATCATTAATTTTCTTGTTCAAATTAACAAGCAATTTCTTTCAACTTGAATACTTTACTTTGAACCCCCTCTTTATATTTAATTGCATATTTTTAAATATTTCGTTTGTTCTCATAGTAATAAATTAATAATTTGTTCTTTTAGCATATTAGAAAAAAGAGTGTGAGAAG